TATACAATGTGCGCAACGTAATGAAGGTAGAAGTGATGATGAAGTGAAGTTTAGATGTCCTTGTGTCAATTGTTTGAATGAGAGAAAGTTGAACGCAACCTAAATTACGAAACATCTTATCTCTGATGGTTTCCTACAATGTTATACATCATGGATATGGCACGACAAAGAAATACACTTTCTGACTATCTCCCAAATTGAAAATGTTATTGATTCCACCATGGAAAGTCGACCAGAAGAAGACAAATTAGAGGACATGATCCTCGATGTTGGCATAGAAAACTATGCCAAAGCTTATGTGTATGAGACAATGTTCACTGATGCGACAACTCCTTTGTTTGTCGGTTCAACTAAGTTCACACGGTTGTCAACGGTGTAAGGCTTATGAATTTGAAGGTGACCAATGGATGAACTGATAGGAGTTTCAAAGAATTGTTGACGTTGTTGAATGAAGCCAAATGGAAATACACTACCCACTGATAACTATGATGCGAAGAAAATTCTTTGTTCGAAGGATATGTAATATAAAAGGATACATGCATGTCCCAATGACTGCATTTTATATAAGAAAGAGTTTGAATTTTTGAAAAAGTGTCCAAAATGTGGGTTATCACAATATAAGTCAAGAAACAACAATGAAGATAATGATCAGATAAAAAAATGGTTTTGCTTTGAAAGTAGTTTGGTACTTTCCAATTGTGGCTAGACTTAAGCGTTTGTTTGCGAATCCAAAAGATGCTTAAAGCCTTAGATGACATGCGAATGAGAGAACAATTGATGGGCTGCTTCGTCATTCAACTCATTCAAAGCAATGAAAAAATATTGATAAATAATTCTCCCAATTTGGTCAAGAATGTAGAAATCTTAGGCTTGGTTTAGCCATTGATGGAATGAACCCACTTGGTAATTTAAGTACCAATCACAATTGTTAGATAGTTATATTGATAATTTACAACTTATCTCTTGGATTGTGCATGAAGAGAAAGTACATGATGTTGTATATGATGATATCTGGTCTGAAACAGCCTGAAAATGACATAGATGTTTATTTCAACCCATTAATTGAAGACTTGAAGTTGTTGTGGGTTGATGGGGTTGAAATATTTGATGGCTACGCTTCTGAAACTTTCGTGATGCCATGCAATGTTATTTTGCACCATTAATGGCTTCCCAGCTTACGGTAATTTATTAGGATAAAATGTCAAGGGTCACAAAGCATGTCTTATATGTGAAGAAAATACTATAGCTCATCAATTGAAACATGAAAGGAAGACGGTATATATGCGTCATCAAAGATTTTTAAAATGTAATAATCCATATTGAAGGTTAAAGAAAGCATTCAATGGAATCCAAGAGAGGGATGATGCACCAAATCCACTTACTAGCCTTCAAATTCTTGAAAAAGTTGATAAAGTACATCATGTCTTTGGGGAAACATCCAAGAAGTCATCTGTAACGAGCCCTTGGAAGAAGAATTCAATATTATTTGATCTTTCATATTGGTCCAAGTTAGATGTGATGCATGTAGAGAAGAATGTGTGTGATAACTTGATTAGTACACTACTCAACATTCAAGGAAAGACAAAAGATGGAGTGGATTCACGTTTGGATTTGGCTGACATGAAGATCCAAGAAGACTTGGCACCAAGAGAGGTTGGCAAACGTACTTATTTGCCCCCACGCATGTTACACAATGTTCAAACAAGAGAAGATAAGTTTTTGCCTTTGTTTAAAGAGTATGAAGGTACCACAAGGATATTTTTCAAATATTAAGAATTTAGTATCGATGCAACTCTTAAAGCTTGTTGGCATGAAGTCTCACGATTGCCACGTCTTAATGCAACAATTGTTACCGGTGACTATTCGTGGAATTTTGCCCAAAAATGTTAGGCAGACCATAACTCGATTGTGTTTATTTTTCTCGTCAATTTGTAGTAAAATCATTGATTTTGCAAAGTTATATGAACTTCAAGGCGAGATTGTTATCATCTTGTGTTAGCTAGAGATGTTTTCCTCTCCATCTTTTTTTTACATCATTGTACATTTACTTGTTCATTTGGTTAGAGAAATCAAGTTGTATGAACTAGTATACTTAAGATAAATGTATCATATTGAGCGTTATATGAAGAATTTGAAAGGGTATGTTAAAAATCCATATCGTCCCGAAGGTTTAATGATTAAAAGGTATATTGCTGAAGAAAGTATTGAGTTTTGTTCATATTACACGACTAAAATAAATCCAATAGGACTTCCTCGCACATCATAGTTGAATAGATTTTCTACAAGTAAAAGCATCTGAGGTGTGAATGTGGTGATGAAAGATCACGAAGAATTGTTGCAAGCACATCTTTATATATTGAACAACACAAATGAGGTGATCCCCTTTTTTGGAAGCACACAAAGCCACTGTGAAGGGGAAAAAATCCAAGACAATAAGAGAAATGACAGTTCATGGAGCATAATAGAACATTCATGTCTTGGTTCAAATATGAAGTTGACAAAGAGTCACACTCTTTTGAGACTTTGTTGTGGCTTGCAAATGGTTTAAAGTTTGATGTCGTACAGGTTATGAAATCAATAATTGCACATTCTATACGAAGACTTTGGATGATAAAAACGCAGTACAAAATAGTGGAGTTAGTCTAGAAGTTGAGTCACTCCAATTTTTCACATCCAAAGATCAAAATCCTGTACTTAGATTAGTGAGATATTATGGAATAATAAAAAAGATTGGGATGTTGATTACACTATGTTTTTTGTTCCATTGTTCAAATGCAAGTGGTTTGATAATAAAAGTGGTGTGAAAGTAAATGAATTGGATATGACACTAGTTGATTTTCGAAAGGTGGGTTATCGAGACAAATTGTTTATCATGGTACATCAAGCATCTCAGGTTTTTTATGTTAGAGATATTACGTCTGATTATTAATATGTTGCTCTTTAGGCAAAAAACGAATTGAAGTTAACGAAGACAATGCACTAGTGATATAAAATATAGAAAAAGACTAAACCCAATTTCTATATAAGAAGATTTAGGAAAACAAGTCAAGGAAACTTAGGAACGTCCTAATTTCAACCACTTCATCATTTTCCATGACTTTTCCCGTCTTTTCTTATAGTTTTATGTTATTTTTACCATCCATAGAGTGTTAAGTTTCTATGATTGATTATGTTGTAATTTCTTAATTAAATTATGAGATTAGATGGAATAAATTTATTTATTCTTTTTTATTCTTATTATGATTTATTTTTATCTATGTGTTTTTACTTTCAATCAAATAAAAGTAATGATTTTGTGCATTATAGCTAACTAGTATAAAGTTTAATATACGTGCATATTAATCATATGAGTAAAATAGTTTTTAAGTTTAATTTAGACTATACTTTGATTAAATTTAAAAACTTTCATGATATTGGTTATGCTTATGCCATTAACTGAAAATGCACTTTGATTAAAATTAAAAACTTTAATAATAATTAAACAAGACTATACTTTAGTTAATTAGTTTTTTGACTTCATAAAGAGATAAATAAATAAATATGAATAAACATATTAATATTTGATTAAGATTCTATTTTGGTTGAACTTACTATGAATAATTTAAAAAGTTATCACTTTTAATTGGGACCGTACTTTGATTAATAGTAAAAATATCAACAAATTATTTGAGTTTACATTAATTAATTTAAAAATCTAAGACATTAATTAATTCAATAATAATCTTTAGATAATCAACGGTGAATCCTATTTAAAAAAGGAAGTGAAATCAACTTATTTTTTTTTTAGTGTTTTAATCCTTTTTATCTTTTTGTAATATTATTCCTTTTTATCGTTTAATATTCTTTTATTTTATTTTATTTTTTTTAATCTTTATTTTCTTTTATTAAGATTATCTCACAAATATATATCGGGACAAGTATTAGTTATGATAAAAGATATCTCATCAAATTCACGTATATACGTAGACAATAAATATTCAATCTTGGTTAGATGATCCAGTGTAACCAAGTAGAAATGACAAACAAATTTGTCCATTGACTATTGTTTGAACTTGTCTTTGACAAAAATTCTCAGAAATAACCAATAATAAGTATGAGTATCAATAATGCTTGATTTTTTAAAGGAAAATGATACTTGAACAACCATTTTTGACAACATTTAGACACGCGCACACGTGTCAAAATCTGAGTGGTCCATTTTCATTTAATTTTTTCAACTAGACCACTCAGATTTTGACACGTGTGCGCGTGTCTAAATGTTGTCAAAAATGGTTGTTCAAGTGTCATTTTCCTTTTTTAAATTGAATACAACGAGGGAATCATAATGTACATTTTCACAATGTCCTTGTCGCCATACCTATCCTTATACTTGAACACATCTTGGTACTCATCCAATGTTTTAAATGACTAAAACACTCACTTGCCTTAGTTTTATTTCACTTAGAAAAGTCTTATTTCTTTCTTTTTCTACACAAATTTTCATTCTCTCTTTCGAGTATTGTTTGACTTGATTAATATTAAAAGGAAATATGTTTTTAAAAACCAAAGGATGACATGACAAACTATTTGTCACAGTAAAAAAAAAGTTAACATAGTTAAGCATTTATAATTGAATTTATATAATTATTAAATGTGAGTACTTAACTAAAATAAAAATCGTATTATAATTTAGACAAAAACATAACTAACCATATTTTAAATTATTTAATTTAAAATCTAAATAAATAACTGAAATTTGGAATTTAATTACAAATTTTATGATCTATAATACAATTTTTATTATGAATATTATATAATTTAAAATATAGTTTAAAAAATATTTTGAATTATCTATTATAAACTATTGTTAAAACCCTTTTGTGTAATACACCTAAAACAATCAATAAAATCTCTGGAACAATTTCAAAACACAGTTCAAAGGATCTTCTATTCATTTTAAAAAAGCAAATTTTTTTATTTAAATAATGCACAAAAGTATTTAATGGAGTCCTGAAGCAACTAGGGGTCGGAGGAAGAAGGTGGCTCACCTCTCACTTTTCTCTCCTCTAAAACCACATTAACATTCTGGAACTGAGACAACAATTGACGAAACAAAACCACCCCTCTGAAACAAACAGAAAAATGCAATTTTCCTATTTCATGTTTTCCCTCTCAAAATCCAACTTCTCTCCTGTTCGCCCCACCCTCCCTCCGTTTCGCTGCGGCATCCGCGAGCTCCGCCAACGAATCCACACCGTCCAGACCACCCAAAAGATCACCGAAGCTATGAAGCTCGTCGCCGCCGCTAGGGTCCGCCGCGCTCAGGAGGCCGTCGTCAACGGCCGCCCCTTTGCCTCAAACCTCGCAGAAATGCTGAACGACATCACCCAGCGCCTAAAAAGCGACGACGTTTCCACCCCCCTCACTGATGCCAGACCCGTCAAGACCGTCGCCCTCGTCGTTTTCACCGGCGACCGCGGCCTCTGCGGCGGTTTCAACAAATGGGTAATAAAAAAAGCCGTGACCCGAATCGAGGAGCTGAAGAAACTCAATCTGGAGTGCGTTGTTATAAGTGTCGGCAAAAAGGGTAACTCGTATTTTACTCACAACAATGAAAGGAAACACCCTTTTGTTAAAGTCGACAGCTTTATCGAAATTGGAGGTTTTCCCACAGCAAAGGAGGCTCAGGTCATTGCTGATGATGTTTTCTCATTGTTTGTTAGTGAGGAGGTGGATAGAGTCGAACTTGTGTACACTAGGTTTGTTTCACTGGTTAGGTTTGAACCTGTGGTTCAGACTTTGCTGCCTCTGGGGGAGGTTTATGATGTGAAAGATGATGTTTTTAGGTTGAGTTCTAAGGAGGGGAAGCTGGCTGTGGAGAGGGATGTTGTGAGGTTGAGGAAAGAGGGTGAGGTGTTTTCCCCTCTTATGGAGTTTGAGCAGGATCCTGTTCTCATTCTTGATGCCATGTTACCTCTTTATTTGAATAGTCAGATTTTGAGGGCGTTGCAGGAGTCTGTAGCTAGTGAGCTTGCTGCTAGGATGGGGGCCATGGCTTCTGCTACCGATAACGCTGTTGAATTGAGTAAAAGACTTTCGGTTGAATACAACCGGGAGCGGCAGGCGAAGATCACAGGGGAGTTGCTGGAGATTGTGGCTGGAGCCGAGGCTCTTACACCAATTGACTTATGAATGTCACTTGGTTTTGGTTTTCCTTTCATGGGGTATCAGTTGTTGGAGATTGTGGCTGGAGCTGAGGTACTAACACTAATTGACTGGTGAATGTCACCTGGTTTTGGTTTCCCTTATCGCTTGGATCCTTTCTAGATAATTTGGATCAGCCTCAATTTGAGTAGTTGAATTTGTCATTGTATAACAATAATGGAGAAGAGAGAATTGGATATAGAAGAGATTTCAGATGGAGATATAAGTCTTTCAGGAGAGGTACCATGTTAGAAGCACGAGATATGGGCATTCTGAACCAGATTAAAAGTTTCCCTACAAGATTTCTCTTTGTTTGAGATTTTGATCAGACATCACTCTTTCTCTACTCAGTGATTGTTGAGTAATGACAAACTTAACAGCTTAGATCTCAGTTGGATGGAATCCAGTTGGAGAGGACCCAAACTCAAGTGCCATTGAGTATGGTTCCTAACTTTATGAAACTAAGTCTTAAAATTTGTAAAATGTTGGAAAGTGTTATTCACTTTAGTCCTTGTGCCAATGAAAGTGGTAGAGAAAAAGGAGCAACAGTGGGAATGACACTTGCAAGCTGCGACATACGCGAAACTAGGCAACGAAATGAGTTTTCTAAAGTTATGATTAAAGTGAATGATGCTTTCAATTTGTATGCTAAAGTGAGGGTTTCACAGTATGGGGTTGAAGAGTTTCCAACTTCACTGATAGAGTCTTAAAGTTGATAGAGAAATCAATCATGTGGAGAGTTTTGACCCGTGTTCAAAATAAGTGCATTGCTTTCCTTTAACATATCATTGTAGTTACTTGCTTCTTGGTTTTGTAATTGAAGAGTTAAGACTTTAATTAAAGAAAACGCACAGGATCAAACCAAAGAAATCTCGAACTTTGCTTATTTCTGATTTGAAGAAAATTTGAATGATCATAGCATAACTCTGCCCCCTCAACTTTCTAGATTTGTTGCCATGCATTATCAAAAGAAACTCATTATAAAGCTACTTTCCTGTTTGAATTATTTATGGAATTAAAGTACGTATATGAAATTGATTCATGCATCAGAGTGCTGCTGANTTGAATACAACCGGGAGCGGCAGGCGAAGATCACAGGGGAGTTGCTGGAGATTGTGGCTGGAGCCGAGGCTCTTACACCAATTGACTTATGAATGTCACTTGGTTTTGGTTTTCCTTTCATGGGGTATCAGTTGTTGGAGATTGTGGCTGGAGCTGAGGTACTAACACTAATTGACTGGTGAATGTCACCTGGTTTTGGTTTCCCTTATCGCTTGGATCCTTTCTAGATAATTTGGATCAGCCTCAATTTGAGTAGTTGAATTTGTCATTGTATAACAATAATGGAGAAGAGAGAATTGGATATAGAAGAGATTTCAGATGGAGATATAAGTCTTTCAGGAGAGGTACCATGTTAGAAGCACGAGATATGGGCATTCTGAACCAGATTAAAAGTTTCCCTACAAGATTTCTCTTTGTTTGAGATTTTGATCAGACATCACTCTTTCTCTACTCAGTGATTGTTGAGTAATGACAAACTTAACAGCTTAGATCTCAGTTGGATGGAATCCAGTTGGAGAGGACCCAAACTCAAGTGCCATTGAGTATGGTTCCTAACTTTATGAAACTAAGTCTTAAAATTTGTAAAATGTTGGAAAGTGTTATTCACTTTAGTCCTTGTGCCAATGAAAGTGGTAGAGAAAAAGGAGCAACAGTGGGAATGACACTTGCAAGCTGCGACATACGCGAAACTAGGCAACGAAATGAGTTTTCTAAAGTTATGATTAAAGTGAATGATGCTTTCAATTTGTATGCTAAAGTGAGGGTTTCACAGTATGGGGTTGAAGAGTTTCCAACTTCACTGATAGAGTCTTAAAGTTGATAGAGAAATCAATCATGTGGAGAGTTTTGACCCGTGTTCAAAATAAGTGCATTGCTTTCCTTTAACATATCATTGTAGTTACTTGCTTCTTGGTTTTGTAATTGAAGAGTTAAGACTTTAATTAAAGAAAACGCACAGGATCAAACCAAAGAAATCTCGAACTTTGCTTATTTCTGATTTGAAGAAAATTTGAATGATCATAGCATAACTCTGCCCCCTCAACTTTCTAGATTTGTTGCCATGCATTATCAAAAGAAACTCATTATAAAGCTACTTTCCTGTTTGAATTATTTATGGAATTAAAGTACGTATATGAAATTGATTCATGCATCAGAGTGCTGCTGATAGGAAAAGCTAAATATTTTCCATGAAGTAAAGTCTCTTAAGGCCTATAATTGATGAATATGAATACAGGGTACCTTGAGATGACAAGATCTTCACGCGTGCTTCAGTAATGTCTAAATGTCTATATCAACCTATACTTGACCCACATTCCTTGGTTTTGGTTTGAAACCTGGAACTGTGGATAGCACTTCTACTCCAATTTGACCTGAGGTACACCTTAGATTTGGAGGGGATATAGGCCACGTGCTGTGGAAGTAATAGCACATGCAAGGCTGAAAAAAACATGTACTTCTTAACACAATGAGTGAAATTTGTTTGAAATTGTAAATTTGTTGGAGGTATAACTTCACTATTAAGTTTCATTCATGTTCTTACAAAATCTAATGTAAGGATTTGGTTTGTTTATCTATCAATCAATTCTTCTTGGTAAATACTGATGAGAAAAGTAACTGTATATAATTTCAAGATTTTATTAAAAAATAAAAACTACTTATATTTCGGTACATGTATGATTTATTATATATAGATATGCAATATTGACATATAATTCCTTTTCAACAGGTTAAGGTTTGTTATTTTATCTTCAAAAATAAATGGCCCTCTTTAGAAGATCATGATTAAAAGAATACTATTTGAATGACAATGAATTTGGTGGGCCATATTAACTGGTAGTTATACTCGTGATAAGGAAACAGTAATGAATGGAAGTTGCAGTCTTTATTGAGTTACATATAATTTACTCAATCAAAGTTCTTACTGTGCTGGTTTTTATGAAACCAAAGGTTGAAACAGTATTCTGACTAAACTTCCGGAAGAACACAATGAAACGAGTTAAAAATGGTTTATAAAAGAAGTTACATGTTATCAGAACACCATATTCAGTAACATTATACCATTAGATATTCCTACATGGATTATTATTCCTAAGGACCACAACAAGAAGCAAATTTTTACACTTCGTTAGTTAACTTTCTTGGATCTTCAATGAGGACAACTGAGACACACACTTCAGATTTCACAACCGATGAACATTCTTTAGCTGCATTAGAATAATGTTGACTTTTCTGTATGTTTCCTAGCCCACTCATAATAATTCATGCAACATTAATGGTTGGAAAAAGAAAGGGTGAAAAACTATACTAACACTAGCTGATTCACTGCACATGGATTATAATACAATATATATATATATATATATATATATATATATATATATATATATATGCATATGTATATGTATGCATATGTATATGTATGTATCAGCCTCCGCCAAAATTGACTCGCCTTAAACAAATCTATCTTTCTCATCATCCATTCAAAATGTCAAGTTTTGGCATAATGTGGGAGTGGTTTCATCGGTAAAAACTATGGCCTATATTGTCATATGCATGACTCACAATTTTCTTAACATTTCATGATAATGACATTTTCTTTCTCAGTTTTATTCTCCTTAGCAGCAAATTATGATTCAGACTCCATCAAACACTAAATGAAAATTTGATCATTGGATTAAAATAGTGTTGGACACTTCCATCAGCAAACAATGACAGTTTATAGTTGTTGGAAGTGTTTTTAGAGTTTCAGATCAGAAATATAGTTATTTTTTACTGAGAAAAAGCTCTTCTAGTATTGTATTGAAAGAGATTATGAATGAAAATGATATCGGTATCTCTTGAAGAATATTTTACTTTAAAGAAGGAAATCGAAGGTTGAAATATCTGTATCTTATTCCACAATAGACCATTCTCAGAAAGAAAAATTGTTCAGTTCAAGTAGATAGGCTATAATTCAGAGGGTGGCTCCAGAAATCAGGCTGAGATGTCTGTGTCCCATTCCATTATGCACATTCTTTCAATAATGGTTAGCAACATTGCATTGTATTGTAGTCACAATGCCCTATGCATGATTTTCATTAACTTAACACCAACTTGCACCAAAAAGTGAGAATAGAATAAATCCATAAGGCTCGTGTTTTCTAATCTTGCTATAAAGTTCTATAAGATCACAAAAGAAAAAGTTTCCCACCTTCGTTTACACCAATACCAAACCAAATCAACCTTAACATGATTATTTTAAGAATGCTTTAAGATAAGATAATTCAGTGCCACAATAACACTGCTTGTTTGGTCCCATGTTATTCACTTTTACAGTCGCCACACTGTTCATTTTTGTTGAAATTATTAATTGCTTCTGACCTACCACTTTGTTTCATAGTTCCGACTAATCTAGATCTAACATTGCATTTTACATACAGATTAATTATCACTTAACTGTTAATATTGCACTATAAATTCATGTAATATGGTTTAGTTTAATTAAAGATCTCTTGCAATTGAGTCTTTAGCCTAGAGGCATACTAAAAATCTATTGGAATAATATAGAAAATGTATGTAATCCTAAAAGACGCGATTCTGTTTAAGCTTTTGAAATTTTTTTTACTTTTTATATTCTTTAGACATAATTATTCTCACTTTGAATCTTAACGGACAAGGAATTTCGTTATTTTAAAGAAATTAAAATAATTTAGCTTGAACTATTTTACTTTTTAAATATTTTCTTTAAATTTTTCGAGTTTTTATTTTTTATTCAAGTAAAATATATTTCAATTATCATCAAACATAAAAATGATTTTAATATAAAATTAAAAAAAATGTAAGTGAATGGTGTTTTGAATCGATCATGACTAGCATCCATCGAACAATAGTATCATTAACGTTGACTTAAAAAAACTTTGGTTAATAGTAATTAAAAATAATATCAGTTTATATCATAAAATAACTAGCATGAATCAATTAAAAAAAAAATTCTAATTTATATTTATAAAAAAATCAATTTGGGAACTATGATGGACATCGACCCCCCCCCAAAAAAAATTATCAATGTTGATTAAAAAAACTCTAATTATATAAGTAAAATTAAACTTTGATTTATGTTGGTATAAAATAAATCTAATTGACACATGATTAAAAGTAATACTTATTATTTTACATTGTAACTAAAATAACTTTAGTTAACACCAACAAATGAAAAAACCATGCTCAAAATGCATGTCGGTGGATAAATAACAATAAATGAGAAAATAATTAAAGAAAAATAATTAATATCAATAGACTTTAGTATGAATGAATCCCCAATCAACATCAATTTGAATACCAATGTAAATAATGTTTGAAATTAGATTGGTGAATCTCAGCTTAACTTAACCAGACGATATTTCTACCAAAATCAAATCCAAAGAAAATGGAAACATTTTGAAATACGAAAATATGAAATTTTTTAATTTCTTTTAAGTCAAAATTTTTATTTTAAATTATTAAATTATTTTTGATATTTTAAATTTTTTTTCCTCCAAGTTTCGTCGCAGGTATCACATACATTGAACGGTAATTGATGCATGTGGGTCACGTTGTTTACCAGGAACTTCCCGGAAGGACACCATTAGGTTTTAAATAACATACAAAAAGTCATTTTTATTTTATATTTTATCTTTGTTTCTCAAAATAACCTTTTGAAACTTGAAAAAAAAGTTGAACTAAACTAAAAATGATTTAATGAATATTTTGAAATGTAAACTCATGAAGACAGAAATCTTAGGACACATGTCCCTTAAACATAGGATCCTCGTGTGTTTTTCCTTACAGATGAATCACAAAGTTAAAATCTAAGACCACATGTTCGAGGATTCTAGGCCCCTTCGAACAAGTGCCACACAAGTTGGTGACTTGGTGTTTTGTTTTTAATATTGTCAGATCCTTGTTTCTGCCACATCACAGAATTTTCCGTGTGTCAATTTTCTTTCTCTCTTTCTGTACTATCACAATATGCTTGCTTTGGTTATTAATATCATAATTATTGTTATTATTATTATTATAATAGAAGGTGGTATCTTCCTCCACTTGTTACACCACATAAACAAATTGAAGTGCAGAAAAAAACAAAACATGATTGTGTGCCTATTTATTTACATGCTTATTTGTTTATAATACAAATGTATTCTTTGGTTGAAAACTTTGACACTTTGTCTGCGTCTCTGACAGTAACCATTCTTTATCTATTAGCCGTCCATTCACAAGGCAATGAATTGTACATTTGCCATCATTTCAATGTTCCTCACTTTTACCTCCATGATAGGTTCTACAAAATTTACCACAACCAGAATAATCAATTCACAGTTTTCACCCTTTGTGCTGCATGAAAGGCCAATATGCTGCATAAAAAAAAACTACCATTTCATGGAAAGTGGGCTTGTGAAAGATATAAATGGAAAGGAAAAGGAAACCTGAGTCCTGGGATTGCCACAAGGAAAAGGTAAAGACACAATCTTTTTTTTTATTGTTGTTATTGAGATGACTAAGAACAACTAAGCATCCACTACTATTGAGGACTATGTCACATGAAATTCAACATCTCTTGTTCCTTTCCTCTGTTTTGCATTAAAGATTCCATGAGATGCAATTTCAGATAAAGTGAATAAGTAAAAGGGTTTTACTGCTCCTTCTTTATCTTTCATTGTCAAAAGTTAGTCCTCTCAGGTCTCAAGAGTTAAATACATGGATAGATTCATCATTTAGAGGATCCATAGGGGCAGAAGCAGAACTAATCTCTGTCTTATTCTTGCCCCTTGGGGTCTTGTTGCTGTTGTTCGGTTCTTGTGGGGTGACCTTCTGCTTACATAAAATCTATCACCCCTCTTCAATAGAGGTAACAAAATGTTACAAATTTTTTGTCAACCTCAAACTTCTGATTTCAGAATCAAAAGGGACTCATCTCTGATTTCAACTTGTATATATATGTTTTCAATATTTCAGGGAAGAAGCAAAAAGTAAAGCCTGCTCTCTAGATCTTCTGAGAAAGGTATACTATTGTTTACCTTAATGGAATATGTATCAAAACATGCTTTTAAGATATCTGTATGAATGCTTCTATGAGTCTCTCTCTCCTCAACTCTCGATTCCTCTTTTTTCTTTCTTTTAAACTTTATTAAGCAATCATGGAATTTGGAGGAAGCCAAACTCTTATTTAATTCATAGTGTTGTGATTTGGACCATGTAGGAAGTGATTGATGGAGGATAATAACTATAACAGGCAGAGGAGTGGAATATGGAGATGCTTGAGAGACGGAGACTTTGAAGAAGAGGAAGTTTGGGCTGTTTTCAAGGACAGACCTGATTACAACAATATTTCTGGTGTTCACAAGCCAAAGGAAAAAGGGTCTTCTCCTCTTGCTGTTCCCAGGACTCTTCCAAGCGCTGCAAGGATGATTCCAAGGACTAGCAGTGGCAATAGCAGTGCCAGTTCCTCTCATGAAACCAAAGTTCTTCAGCAATCAGCACCTCTCAACATTCCTGACTGGTCACAGATTTATAGGAACAAGCCAAACAAGACCCCCAACAGTGTATCAAAGTTTGGTGACTACGGTGATTTCTACCATTCTGTTGGTGATGAAGGTGATGGTGAGGGTGTTGGTAATTATGGTGGAGGGTACAGTGATGATGAGGAAGAAGAAGATGATGAGTATGACACAAAGCTCCCCCCACACGAGTTTATTGCAAGAAGGCTTGCAAGGAGTCAAATATCCTCTTTTTCAGTTTTTGAAGGTGTTGGAAGGACCCTCAAAGGTAGGGATCTCAGCAAAGTGAGGAATGCTGTTCTCACAAAAACTGGTTTCCTTGAATCATTGTGAAAGAGGTTCCCATGAACCAAATTTGTTATGTATAGAGGGGTAGCCAGTGGTTGGTTAGTTATTCAGATTGTGTGCATGTTTTGTATGGAAGATTCATTCAGGCTTTTACCATGAAAAAAACAATGATTCAACTTGCTTCTGGTGGCAATTCAAACTGGCTTATGTCAAATTCATGGTGTCTCTGGTATAAAGCCATTAATCATTTACAAGAACACAAGTGTTTTTAAGACCAATGTCATTTAGATTTCCAAGTTATTCACTAAATCTTATATTCATATATATATATATATTTTCCTTCTCTTGTATCTCACTTTTACTCTATCTTTCTTTTTATCTTTCTCTATATTTTCTATAACAGAATTCATCACATCTATAACTTTTTATCTCTTTTTTCTTTATCTATCTGTTCATTCCACCACACACTCTCAAAATGGGGTGTGCGTTGAACTTTTCCCAAATGAAATCAAATCCAAACACTTCTTAGAATAATCTGGTCCAAATCTTTGACACCCATTACGTAATGTTTTTCATTTCTATTTCTTTTTGTGTTACAGGACATGATGGAACAAGAAGAATGTTAATATACTCTGTGACACCTTTTTAACAGAGTCTCTATCGTCAGTTAAAATACCAAAAGTTACATAATTTTTTTAGACATTAATTTATTTAACAATTTTCTATTCATAATTTTGTAATTTTTTTATAAATCTCACTCGTTAACAAAAAGAAAATGTGTAAAAAAAGAGTGTTCTTAGGATAATACCAACACTTGGTTGAATAAAAACCACACAACATACGTTAGCTGGATCAGAAATGTAGAAAATCTTTACATCGAACAAATAACTCGTGACCCAACTAGAATTTATAGTACTAAACAAATTTCTATGTGTAGTAGCTGAGCTCTTTATGATACAAGCTATTGATTGAAAAATAAAGAATAAAAAAGCAATGGATATTTCCAAAACAATTAACAAAAAAAATATATAATATCATATAAATGATTGAAATCACTTTCAATATAAAGTTTTAAGATTAGAATTTATAGACCTTCTTATAATACGTATGACAAGTTGGAATTTAAATTTTCAACAGAATTATCCATGATAAATTAAGATATATACGAGTTAAGGTGAATTATAAATAAATTTGAAGTGTGATGTAAAGCTTAAAGTGTAGTAAAGCCAAGTTAGATGAAGAAGGCATGAGAAAGTTGGAAGATAATTTAAGTTGATGGTTGTAGTTGTAGAATTATTGAATTATGCATATTGTGGGAAATTGAGAGAGACATGGCACCAACTCGGTGTCTTTAAATATTATTTATGAAAAGAAGAAAGGTTTTTAAATAATATGCAATGATATGTGATAAGGGAGGGATAGAAAAGAGTGAGTTGTCTCTCTCAACTCCAAATGTTGGTATACAAAAAGAGAAAGATCAATCCCAATGAAGCTACGTATAGAGTTGGCTTTCTATAGACTTTCTCAAATTTAATGATGTTCTATCTCTCACACCTAAGCATTCTGTATGCATTATTGACTTTCCATCTTCAAAGTTAGTGCCCATTAATTCATGTCTCAAGAGTTTTTAAACTCAAAGCCACATATATTTGCCATTCATTTATAGATAATCTTTTTTCTTAAAAATATTATCTACCTTTTCTACAGTGTTTTTTTTTTCTTTTCAAGAATTGCTATTACATCATCACAATTATGCTATTAACATTAGAGGAAAAAATATATATAAAGATATTATAAATTTTTTATTGTTATTTCGTGTTTTCGTTATATAAAAGAGTACAACTTTTTGAGGTTATAACACAGTACATGTATGCTTGATTCAACGTCTTTCAAAATTTGATATGCAAAATATTGAAGCTACAATATGATATGAGCATGTTTGGTAAGAAATACACACTAATATTATTTTATGCAAGAACAATTTTTACCCTCAAAAGAGACGAAAATTATCTTATCACATATGCACATGCTATATGGTAAGTACAAAAATGAAAAGAACATTTAAAATTATTTAGAAAATATACGTAGGATGATTTCGACGTCTTTATAATATAAATTAAATGTATTTAAAAAGTGGTTCTATTTTTAATTCACCACTAAATTTATGATTACTGATAACGGCGTCATTTATATTATATCTAAAAATCGTTGACGATGATGAAATTGCTACGAGCAATCAATGTCCAAATTTCCGACAAATGATAAGTTTTCTGGAATTTACTTCCAGCAGCCAAAACGTAGTTTTTGCTAAGTTGGATATGAATAAGACGCGACATTATCTACAATTTAATGTGTCTGAATGAAGTTAATTAAGTGACTGAAATTCTATATGTCTTCTTTATTTAATTAAGTTTTAAGTAATTTATAAATTTAAACATTTTTAATATAGCTTTTATCAAAGAAAATAATTTTATTGAATATTTAAAATATTTTTTTATAATTTAATTAATTTTAAGTTTTTTTATTATTATAAATTTAAGTATTTTTTAGTTGAGTTTTACTTTTAATAAGATGAACTTGTGATTAACATAAAATAATATTATTATTAACAAGTATATTTTATTGTTTTTACGAAAAATATGGTTATATGGAAGTGATTATGTTTTTTAATGATTTCTACGTTATTACTTACAAAGACTAAGGTTTGTCATTGATATAGTGATCGAGATAATTCATTGTTAATTAATATTTTTCAACAATAATAATAAATTGTCATTTTACCTTAATCACATTATTGTTTTATATTAACAATAAAATTTTACAATTTTAATATACGAAAACAAGTAAGCAGTAACAATTACGACACCCAATTAAAGAAGAAGCCAAAGATTTAATTGAAAAACTAATTTTTAGTATTTAATAGAATGATTTTTATATTAAGAATTCAACTGAAAATATTTAAATTTATAAAAAAATTAAAATTTAATATTTTTTATTTATTTATTTAAGTGTTATAGAATTTAATTTTATTGTTAATGAATAACGTAATTGTCTCGTATCTTTAACTCGTAAATCAACTCACTTTGTTTTCCTCTCCAAGTTTTTTCAACTTTTCCGTCAACTTATTCTTAGATATAAGTGAAGAAGAGATATAAACACAAAAATAAGAAGCACGTCATTTTGTTAATAACAAAATCAAATAACACAATACTTAAATTAAAATATAAAAAAAATTAAATAATCAAGTAATTAACATTTTTAATACGAACATATATAATATTAAATTTACGAGATATTTAAAATTTTATTGCATCTACTTTCTATATTAAAGATGGAAACTACTCAATTAACACATGTTGAACTGGTTTCTAAACATTAGTTGGTGTGATTAAAAATCTGTCTGCACTGGAGTAAGCAGAAGTTTTCACTTTTTAACATATAAAAATGGGAAGCAGAATTGATTTAATTTCAAGGATTAATGTTTATAAATTTTATAACAGCAAATCAAATTCAAATTAATAAATTACTATGATATTTGTTCGTAAGGAGATACTATTTAATGACATTATGGTAGGATAATCTTAACCTTTCATTAATATAATAAAGTTTATATAAATTAAAAGGTTTAAAAAAACATTGTAATACTTTATTATCTCATTACTGATGCCCTTGATCATTTTGACTTTATTTTTCAAATAATTTAAATTAATTTTAATAAATTGCTAAACGATTAATAGTTTAAATTTTAAAAAAATAAGATATATGAAATTATCGTACTATAATAAATTATAAACAAAAAAAAAATCACAATAAGAAAATCATTATTATAACCCAAAAGACCGTGAAAACCTAAATCTAATGTAATCTTTAACAAAGTGATAGTATTGTTGTTGAGGTGATGGTAGATACCAAAGTTTTAGTACCAACGAATTTTACCGTTTGCCTCTTCCAAATAAAAAATTTAAATTGATTATTAAACTAGTTAAAAATATTTAATAATTTAATGTGTTTGAGTTGATATTTATATACATATAATAAATATTATAATATTATAAATTTATAACATTGAAATCTAAAATAAAAATATTTTATATAGTTTTTAGTTTTCAAAGTAAACATAAAAATCTAGATAAAATATACGGTACTATACGTTAATGTTCTTTATCAAATTAGGAGAAAGTTAACTTCAGTTGCTTCCTAAGTATGATCCTTTTTCATATTATACCGAAATCCCATTCTACTCTCACTACATAAATATCCTTCTTTAGGTGGGTTACGTACTAGTAGAGATAGGATAGTCTCACTCCCAGATTCTCCTTTCAATGCACTTCGACATGCAATAGTAGTAATTTTTCCATGAAAATGCTACATGGACTCAAATTTCACCATATCAATTCAAATAAAGTTCATAAAAAAATTATATATTTACTAACCATAATCATTAACAAAAAAAAACTCAACATAATAGATTCACTACCCAATGCCTTCTTGCTACCACCCAACACCTACACCACTACATCTATGGCGCCCAACAATACACAAATCACGCCTAGCGGTAACATGTCAAAAGTTGAGCTTTCTAAAATTTTCAAAGTGGCTTCCAATGATCAAACCCTAGCATCTAGCGGTGCACACAAAAAGGAAGTTGAAAGCCTAAAATCCTAAATTTTTCTAGATTCCCAATAGTTATCACATATGCTTCGTTTAGTTCTTCTCAATTCAGATTCAAACAAACATATCAATCTTATTCAAATAAACACTCTAAAATTCTACATTATAATATCATATATATAATTGGACATGAGTTAACACATCAAAACACATTAATTGAGTTCATATAATCATGCATATACCTTATATAACTTCACGTGCATATGATTATTAATCTCTCAAACTTTATAAATAAAACAATAAACCCAACACTCAATCCTCTCTCAATAGTGTCATTCTTGTCACACTTTAACACACTAATAAATGAAAACCATGAATATTATATTCTTTTCCTTTTCATAGTTTGAACATCTTAATAGTAGCTTTTCTTCAACTAATGAATCTTAAATTTGTTCAGATATTACATAGTAATTCAAATACATCAAACTAAAAGTCCAACCTTTATGGAGAATCAGATTCAACCATAACCAAATCCTCTAAATATCATTTATATTTCTACAATATATTCAATTCAGATATCACATAGTAATTTGAATATATCCACAACTTCATAAAATCGTGAAAAAGTAAAGTCGTTATGACCCATAATGACTTTTTTGTAAATATGTTTAACGAAAGTTGTAATGTGTAGTTGACTGAAGAATGAGCGAGTA